ATGTTGTTCAATCCTCAATCCTATTGAGAGTTCTCAAGCTTCATTGCACATGTCCTAATGGCCCATCTTGGCACAATTGCCCATTTTATTCCGTTATTCTAACTTGCAGCTAAACCATAGATTGTGATTCAATCTTGAATGGCATTAGTTTGGTTTAAACTACTCAGAGTGTTCCGGTTACAGATCAACGTCCAAAGATACAGTTCAATGCACAAAACTCATGGAGGACCTTCCATCCAATCACGTTATTTTCCATTACAATAATTGGGAACTATTAGGGTACTTCGGAGGGAATACATTTATCCAATTGTTTCCTGTATTGTTAGTGTCTGTAAAACTCATTTTTATTTAAATGATCGTAGAAGCTTATTCATGTTTATTTAACTACATATTTCTACAAGTTCAAACATTATTTCATTTTATTTTAAACAGGTTTAAATTTAAATGTAAGTTTTTAGTTGAAGCCATAAGTATCAAATAAATACAGTAATACTAATTTACAAATTATGGATTCCAGAGATTTTTTCACACAGTAGTTTGCTATCAAGTGTGAAGGCTGCTTTTGACACCTTTGGAGATGGGGGATGTTTTTAGTCATATTGTAAAATCTTATTAATTACATACCAAACGCATAGCAAATTCTAATTTATTGAGTGCATTACCAAAAGTTGTTTAACACATACATAGAACTTTACAAAGAGCTTAGTTGCAAAATGGTGATGTCAATTAAATAACTTTCTCCAACCTGTTCTTATCTCTGTTGCTTGTGAATGGAATAAGACGGATTATGAAGAAAATTCAAAAATTTGTACGAGTTTTAATTAAAATAGAATGTGCATTTACTGGACATTGAGCGAGCATCTAAGTTGGTCCCTACTAATTGGTAATAAATGAAATTCCCTTCCATTCTCCCATGACTACAGTGCGTTGGTAAACGAACAGTGCATTGTGACAGCATTTGTAAGGGGCTGTTTGGAAAATATTTCATTTTTTAAAAAGTGGTAAAAAAAAGGTTAGAGGTAAAAGAAAAGCAAGAGGAAACATCAGCCTTGGTGAAGACTAGGTAGAAATGGCCTTGATGAGAAAAAAGGTATTTGGCTAAAAAATGTCTAGATGTAAACAGATATATAAATACATGAAGTAAAAAAATATGTAATAATTGCGTAGAGGTTAAAAAAGGCAGTGGTCATTGTTACACCAGTCTTATACTAATTTTAAACTATGATTAATGATGTCGATTGATGACTTAATCCAATCAATTAACATGAATTAGGAACTGGTTTAATTTAATTATTAATTCTATAGGTAAAACAAGTTTTATTCACAGTAGCATCGCTGCCTACCCTATTTACAACTTACTGTACTGGTAGTCATAAAAAATATTATATAGTATAGAGTCATAAAATATTAGTACAAGTCTGCTCCTCTGATGCTTTTGTTTTGATACTTTAAAAATTAGTTATTTTGCATAGCATACCGTTCGTTCTCTGTTTAAAAAAAAAACATAGTGATTATGTTTTTTAGTTGGAATTTGAAAACTAGATTAAAAAAGAATAAAAAATGTCTGAAGTAGTTAAAAAAACAAAAAACAAAAAAAAAAACTAAAACTATGACAATATATTTTCAAATCTTCCTCTCTTATTTCTTCTGGGCATTGTATCAAAGTATCTCTTCTCTTTATATTCTTACTTTGTGTTTAAAATATTTGCCAAGAAAAACAAATTTCTTGTATTTATAAGTGATGAATAAACTTGAACCTTGAACCCTGGTATTGCTAATATTTTCAGTGCATTGTGCCCTCATAACAAAAAGCATGTACAATACAGTACATAGCCTAGGGCTTGCTGTCACAGTGGTATATAACAGGATCTTTTCATCACTTCAATGCTAGAATGGAATCACCATTTACTAGGCCTAAAGTACAGTTAACAACATTCCTGTGGCATTACATCACGTTCTTATCCAAACTGTGCTATGTCCATGCTCACAACAGTAGGCCTACTATTCAATAGTAATGTCAGTCCACCAAAAGAAAAAAAAAAGAAACAAAATACTTTTTTGTCTTTGGTACCAGAAAAAAAAAATAAAGAAAAAGGAAATATGCCAACTTAAAATTTACTCCTGGGAAAAACTGGATCCCTCTCCCATATTTTGAAAATCAGAAACCAAAAAAAACCAACCAAAAAACAAAAACATCCCCCTCCCCAGAGGTTAATGAAAGCTTACTCTATTCCATCAAATCCACATAGTACATGGTTGACCATATAATTTGGTAATTCAAAAGTGCATGACTTTATATTGAATTTAAACTTACATTTTCTTACATACTGTATATCTGAATAATTATATTAAAATTTTCTGATAACGTTAACTACAGCAAAGAAAAATCAGATTTGCTAAAAATAAAATAAGATTGAACAATACCGTACTGTCACATTGCATTACACATTTTAGGATGCCTGTTATATCATCAAAATCAATTCAATTTTCTGTGAAAATACCCAAAATATAGTACTAGATCAGCTGCTAAAAATAGAATACAACAATAAGCAGTTTCATACAAAGATAGAGAAAACTCACTGAATGAAGACAAAATAATATGAAATGAAATTCTGATGATTACTGAGTGACGCATTGGGAAGTACCCTTCCTGATTTAAACAGTATTATAACAGAATGCTAACGGAAACCTATTGTTAAGTGCATCTTGCTCGATGAGTCATCCAAATTATCGATAAATTAATCTATTTAGCATACAATACTGTAATAACTTATATTCGCTAAGTTTTATGGTAACTATTCACAAAAAAAAAACAATTTGTAGTTTAGAGAAATATTTACATCATTTTTGTGAATCTTTTAATTTTCTATTTTACTAAAGTACTGCAAGACAAAGATGATAATTTAACTATACTGTACAGTAAATGTCCTAATCTTCCTTCTAATCATTCTCATCATCTCATGACTAGGTTTTTTTTTACATATGCATTCACAGTGTGGCTGCATACAGGTAGTACTGTGCCTTTAAATATTGTCATACTGTATGTGTGGTCTAGTATTTTTTTGTACTGTTATATACACAATGATGAGTTGTGACATCTCCATGGATATTTTATCACTGACTGTAAGTACTCCTTCTGCAGAGTCTAGGATCAATTATTATGATGAGAATCAACTACTTACAATATAATCAGAAAATATTTAGTTTCTAATTTATAATATATGAGAATATTTTAATTTTAATGTATATATGATCATAAACAACATTATGAAATACTGTACCTTGTCGAACATCTATTCAACAAGTAATCGGTAGAATTAAATGTCATTCTTTTGTGAAATTATTCATACCATACTCATTTTTTTTCTTAACGTTGTACCACACTACATTCATTATATCATAAAATATGGTAACAAATCATTTTAAAATTTCAAATATTCATAAAGATTCAATATTTAAAAAAAAAAAGTAATTCACAATTAATGCAGTTACAATTATAAAGTATTGCTTTGTGATGTTTTTATGTTTATGATTCATGTGGAAGGCTAACATTCTAAAATATAAATTATGAAATAGACTGTTTATAATATCCGATTAGTGTATTTAGGTCAAATGGCAATAAATTAAACCATTAAAACTGAGATTAAACTAATTTAACTGAGCTATCAATCGCCTATATTTTCATTCCTAAATTACTTGCATTATTTGATATTAATTATGGATTACATTACTTTGTGAGTTATTCTGTTGTTCCTATTCATTGTGTCACATTTATGGAGCTATAAAGCTCCATGATTTAAGTCAATGTCTTCTGAGATCGAGACTCTGCTCTCCTAAATGACATAGGTCACAGGTTATTTGAAGCCTATGCCACAGTTGTAAACAATTTAAGCTAAATCAAAGTGTATATTTTCTGTAACTGAATACTCTAGTCAGTAAGTTAAATCAATAAAACACATAATCAGTTCAATAAATCATATTACATGCAAATAAAAATATAAACTCTATGAATCTACAGTAAAACTAAAAGCAAACCCACATATAAAATCATTAACAAAAAAAAAAAAAAACGAGCAAATTAATAATTTTCTACTGTAGTTTCTATCTTTTGAAGCCTTTATTCTTGTCTATATCATGTTGGCATACATTGTGTTTAGTTCTTTTTACCATCATAAATAGTTTTTTTCATGCACACCACAGGATTCAATTTAATATCCTCAAATAATTAGGCCTACACTACAGTCCAAATTTAGAAACAGGACATCAAAAAAGACAATAAAACCTTTGATTCCATACACAATTACTGAATGGAGAATTGTTTTGAACTTGTTCCATGTCAAGAAACCAATTTCCCGTTGCTGTTCTGTTCTTTTGTTATTCAGATAAATAGAAGGTAATCCCATACAAATCCTTTATCAGTCAAATGGATCTATTATTATTTCTTCATAGATGAGTATTATGGGAGACTTTTATTATAAATTGTTTGGCTGAATCAAAACTTTGAATTCATGGCTTATTGTATCGCAATGGCCATTTCCCAACTAAAAAAATGTATGTTTTGGGATAGAAAATAAACTTCCACCTTCAGAAAGGCTGTACAAACAAGTATAGAAAATTATTGAAAAGGACGAACAAACATGTCATTAGTTACTCCGAAAAAAGTGAAAATAGCTTGGGATTGTTTTTGTTTCCTTCGGGCCTGAAACTAAAGGTTAGCCCGAGACTCAGTGAGGCTGGCAGTCCAGTAGACCTAGCCTAGAAAAGTTGGTCATCTCTACATGAATAAATGACAGAAAGGTTTGTCAACAAACAGTACATAGGCCTACACCACAGTAAACACACAAATTATCATTTGCAATCAAAATCTAAAATAGTATATTATACAAAAAAAAACAAACAAAAAAACAAAACCCAAAAACAAAACACTGGAGAAAAGGCTATAAAATCATGGAATAGTTGTTAGGTAATATATTGAAGATCAAGAACCAAATTGGTCTTACCTTTACTTCATATTGTTTGTCGGTACCATCAAGCATCAAAACCTTGCAGATCAGCATATTCTTTTTGGTGCCATCAACTCGAACCTCTCCACGAGCGGTACCATGTCGGCGATACCTCCTAGAAAAACGATTACTCAAAAATCGCATCATTTTGCTAATTTGACGACTTCAAGATTTAAAACATCACAAGAATAAATAAATATGGATATTTTATACCATCAAGGTATCTAAAATTGTCCTAAATTCCGAAACAAACGTTGTTTTGAACCTGTCCTTCGCAGACCCATTACCGATCACAACACCCTACTAAATTCCTTTGAGATCGAATCTGCGCAACCGCAAGATTTAATCAATGTATTATTCCGCCCTCTATAGTTCTAAAATTTCATGAGGACAGCAGACATAATAAAAACTTTCGTCTCACGGTTGCTAAAGAGTGCACAGTCAGTCATAAGTTAAAAAATTTGAAATATTAAATCTCTATTTGAATCGCTTTACTTTACTTGTATATTTAATGAATTTTGCTTACAATTAAAAATTTGTATGTGACGAAAATTTTCTCAATTAACGTACAGTTAAATAATACATTTTCTACATTCTTTTGCATTTAGACAACCTTTTCCGGGTAATCAGCGAAAATGTTTTCCATCTGTTTCTGGTTGCAAGTTAATAACTATTTGATCCTTTTAAATTAGCTATTCAAAATTTTAATTGATTTCAAGGTATTTTTAAATTTTTTTGCTAGACGGTTTCAATGTGAATAGACCATATAAATATACTTAAATTCAACATAATAAGAGTTCAACATGGTTAACACATGTATTTCGTGTTAGTTTTTTCCATTCCATCAAAACAGTTCGGTTGGTTTTCAGATTTAAAGGAGGGGGTGGGGGAAGGGGTGGAGGACTGTCTCTTATACACATCTATCTATTTAGCATACAATACTGTAATAACTTATATTCGCTAAGTTTTATGGTAACTATTCACAAAAAAAAAAAAACAATTTGTAGTTTAGAGAAATATTTACATCATTTTTGTGAATCTTTTAATTTTCTATTTTACTAAAGTACTGCAAGACAAAGATGATAATTTAACTATACTGTACAGTAAATGTCCTAATCTTCCTTCTAATCATTCTCATCATCTCATGACTGGGGTTTTTTTTTACATATGCATTCACAGTGTGGCTGCATACAGGTAGTACTGTGCCTTTAAATATTGTCATACTGCATGTGTGGTCTAGTATTTTTTTTGTACTGTTATACACAATGATGAGTTGTGACATCTCCATGGATATTTTATCACTGACTGTAAGTACTCCTTCTGCAGAGTCTAGGATCAATTATTATGATGAGAATCAACTACTTACAATATAATCAGAAAATATTTAGTTTCTAATTTATAATATATGAGAATATTTTAATTTTAATGTATATATGATCATAAACAACATTATGAAATACTGTACCTTGTCGAACATCTATTCAACAAGTAATCGGTAGAATTAAATGTCATTCTTTTGTGAAATTATTCATACCATACTCATTTTTTTTCTTAACGTTGTACCACACTACATTCATTATATCATAAAATATGGTAACAAATCATTTTAAAATTTCAAATATTCATAAAGATTCAATATTTAAAAAAAAAAAAGTAATTCACAATTAATGCAGTTACAATTATAAAGTATTGCTTTGTGATGTTTTTATGTTTATGATTCATGTGGAAGGCTAACATTCTAAAATATAAATTATGAAATAGACTGTTTATAATATCCGATTAGTGTATTTAGGTCAAATGGCAATAAATTAAACCATTAAAACTGAGATTAAACTAATTTAACTGAGCTATCAATCGCCTATATTTTCATTCCTAAATTACTTGCATTATTTGATATTAATTATGGATTACATTACTTTGTGAGTTATTCTGTTGTTCCTATTCATTGTGTCACATTTATGGAGCTATAAAGCTCCATGATTTAAGTCAATGTCTTCTGAGATCGAGACTCTGCTCTCCTAAATGACATAGGTCACAGGTTATTAGAAGCCTATGCCACAGTTGTAAACTACACATCTAGATGTGTATAAGAGACAGGTATTGGAGTGTGAATTGGGCTGTGTTCTCACTTATTTATTATTGTAAAAAAAGTCCATGATATGATTATTTTAATGATTTTTATAGAGGTAGGCATAGGCCTCTATAGGCTAGGCCTATGCTACTGGTATTATTATCATTATTACCAACAACTCCCTCGTATTTACAACAATTTGCATTGATCTGTTAAATGCTTCTTATTTATGTGAACAAATTAAGATTTCTTTCTGGTAAATTAATGTTACAGAACAGAATAAACATTTTTTTTTTCTCAATTTCCAATTCACGGCAGCAGGTGAGCTAACTAATCAAAAATAAATTTTATTTTTATTTTAAATCCTTACTTTCGTCAACAGTGGGTTTGCAAAACAAAATATCAAAAAATCATTATATGTTGACTTTCTTTCAGAATTTGTTGGTAAAGAATTTTTCTCAGTGAAAACTCATGAAGTAAGAAAGCGTTGATGTTTGTTTAAAGCCTTAATGCGGCAGTCGGAGAAACAGGAAATTACCTGACTTTCAAAGGTGAATAATTTTTTTTTAAGTTTCAAGTTTTTAACACTTTAAATATAGGAACTCACTAGTACTAATAGTGGAGGTTATCAATTAATCAATAATGTGTGTGTAAGGCCTACTGCATAAAGAGTATTAACATTGTAAATATATTGCACAATATTTTAATGCTTTTAAAACTAAGAAAAAAAGGATGGAACAACTAATTAACCGACTTATGATTAAGAAGTGTGTTAGTCTCTTATTTCAGCTACCGCATATCATACTCTTATTTTAATACATTCATGTTGAAGGAAAATACAAAATTTAAAATGTGGGTAGAAAATTTTAAGATACATTTTCAATACTAATTAATTACTTGCCTTAAAGACACAAATGGCAAAATCTGTTTAATTATTACATGATTTAAAATTTTAAAACAATTAGAGCATTAATCATATTCCAACTGTCAGTTCTTGGTTATTTCGCTCAGCCCCTCAATTCTTTATTATTCTGACCTAGTGTATGTATTATTATGATTTTTCATGACTCACTTTTTTTTTTCAAAAAAGAGTTTCAAAATGCACAAGACAACTGTATGTATCACTTTGCTCTGATTAAAAGAATTGTTTTTTTATATCTTTCAGCATGTGAAGCAAGGGTGAAAATCCGAAGCCATCCTGATTCAATATTTCAAACTTAGTTTGGTCACTGCAGAATCTACAATGGCATCTTTCAGCAAGATTTTAAATTTACTCTGCTACCATTGGACAAGAAAAAGCATGGATATAGACAGCTCCAGCTTCAATATCATACAGAAAATTTCTGGTTTATACACACCTGTAACGCGACAGATTCTTGAACAGGGTTTTGTATAATAGACTCTAGTTGACGCCTTAATATAAATTACAGAAAAAAAAACTGATTTGAAAACTGTAAAGCATTTAGGTACTGCTGGAATTTGAGGTATGTGCATCAGTAAGGCTTAAGACGAACAATATTATGTGAAGGGGTATGCAATTTATGCATATTTGATGTATTTAATTAAAGAAATCATGGTTTGTATATCTTGAACTCAGTGTATTTTTTATGTCTGCAGGAGTTGTTTAAGCCATTATTATTTTTTCCGTCCAGTAGCCACTCCAGCTCGAAATCAAACATTCAATACTGCTTGTGCATGCAAACAATATTGTGGACCCAACGGATGTCAACAAACAGCTCACCCGTCAATAACAACTTGCATTAACATTAACAAACAGTATATATTTACAAAAATAAGAAATTTATATGAATCTGTTATAAATCATTATATACAGCTTTCTTATAAGAATCTTATGAGACAACTAAACCATTCACATAGGATTCCTGAAAGACATCTATACGATTCCTTTAGGAAATCAATAGGATAAAAATAATACTTATAGGATTCCTATATAATTCTTATAAAGACACCCATAC